TTAAATGATATTAAATAAAAACTATTTTTTTTTTAAGTACGGGGAGACTGTATGGCCATGATAAAAGAAAATAATGTGAGCAATGTGCTTAAAATGGTGGTTGCTCTTAATATAAATATGCGGGAGGATTTTATGTCATTTCAATAAAGACATAATATACATTGCTAAGATATGATTAAAAAATCATGTATTAAAAGATTATTAAATATGATAAGATCTCTAATCCAGACTACGGATATGTTTTCAGTATATATCTTATCGATAAAAACAATATGCCCCGAATGCGTGGTACTTGGTTGGAAACCGAAGGATAGCATCCGCACAAGTGGCACCCACAACTTTAACTTGGTATTCATTATTGCGCTGACACTGAACACACAGAGGCGAAAACACCATATATAATTTATAGGTAAACAGAGACAACAAATCAGACGACACTCACGGCAAATAGATAGGTGGATAGAAAAGAACAGATGGGAATGAAAACAACAACAGACAAAAGATTCGTCGTGCGTTCAAAGTCAGTGGAGCAAAGTCCACAGTTATTTAGCCAAAGAAATCGCCGATTAGTGTTGTTCAATTGTTTAGCAAATTTCATCATCGGTCAACCAAAGAGACCCAAGCCCACCGGTTCCCATTTGTCAAAACAACAAAAAAAAAGTGTAGATTGTGTTTGCAGCCGTCAATGTTTGAACAAAAACACGGTTGCAAATCAATCACAATCAAATAAAAACTGACGGGTGACAAAGTAACAATTGACCCGCAGAATTAAAGAATTTCCATCCAAATCAATTTCCTTTTAAATCAATGAATTTTGCAAAACAAAGAAAATATTGGACGGTTAAAAAAAGCAGATAACAAACGTTTATCTGTCATTTAAATGAAATGGAATAAAATGCATGCACATAGTCAATTGATAGTTAATCGAAAATGTTAAGCTAGCACTTAAGCTTCTCCTCACATAACTTTTATCTAAAGTCAATATTTATTAACTATTTTGATTGCAACTAAAAAAGAGCGAAGGCAATGATTAATCACAGCGATAAAAACGCTTTATATAAAATCGTTCTGTGGCCTAATAACAATCCGCTAATGGATATTCCACTTTGTTCCGGATAAATTAAGCAATTATTCCGCCGTGCTTAAAATACGATTGTATATACATACATCCGAAGTGTGTCGGCAACCTCGGGGCAAATTCATTTCCAAATTATGTGTATATCGTGAGTTTTAGCATATATCTCCATAGTTTTATCTCCTCTCCGCCGCCTTTCGCTATCGGTCACGTGCTTTTGCCAATGGGTTCGACCGCGGTTCTTTGTTTTGGGGGCCTTACGTAAACAATTTTCATCGTATTTTCAATTGGATTGCGCGGATATTCGGCTATATAGCAACTCGTTCTTTATCATTGCCTCAGGCCTTCCAGACAGACAGACGACGCGGTTCTTTTTCTTTACTCTCTGATAAGGTATTTAAACAAAGCGCCCGGACTAGACATTATACATATGTGTGAATATGGAGAAGAAGAATTTCAATACACGAATAATAATAAAACTTAGTTATATTAATTGGTTTATTTTTGTGAAATGCTTTTCAAGATGTAATTCACTAATACAATAATATTTAGATCTGATCTTTTTCATTTGATATTTTCACTAATTAAGTGATTAAATTAAAAAGGTAGTGAACTAGCAAATTTAATTCACCATTACTCTAAATTCTCGTAAATCAGTGAATAATAAATATTTCGTTTTGTTTTACAACCATGTTTCCGGCTAGATTGTGTGGGAAGAGAAGGAAAAAAAAACTTCTTCAGGGGTCCAGTCATCATGGCAACAAGCTAAATTATTTAATAAGACTCATGTTGTTTGTACCAGCTTCAAAAATTATTGTTTATGGTACATATATTGCTCTATTGGGTTTTCGTGTTGTATAAGGTTCAAGTGCTAATTTGCCTCGTAAATGATTTAAAAGCGATTAAACGTGTGCCTGCCTGGCCAAAGATAATGGTAGTATAACGGAACGAAAACAAACAAAAGTTGCGATTGCGATTAGTCGTTCGAACTTAACCTAGAATCAATAGCAATCGAACACATAATCGAATGATTGGCATATCAGGCAGTTGCCATCTAACCTCAATGTTCCTGCACCCCGATGATGATGATGATCGATTTTGTTTTCGCTAAGCACCTCACGTTCTATTGTCCCAAAGAACAATTAAGTTTTACGAGTGTTTTAAATTTTCCGGCAAGGGGCGGGGAACTAAAACAAACTACTCGAGATTTCGGTGTCGAAGTCTGGAAGTTGGTCGTGTGACCAAGTGGGTCACAAATATCTTATCTATCTTGTTTCCATGGGATATATTTGCACGGCCATGATTCAGGACAGTTTTAATCGACTGATTAGGAGATGATTAAATATCTTGTTTTCGTTTTGAACCCACCTGCTAGTCGGGATCGTTGAAAGGTTGTGTGAAGTTGGACCAGACGTCACTAAACTTTTACAGATCCCCTTTATCTGTCGGGCAGATATTAACTTTTTGATCATACAAATTAAAACTTGGGCATTCCTTGTTTTCTTTCTCACGTTACTTTTTGCTTACAAGCATCCTGAAAGTGTCGTTTAGTTTCATTCTGCATACATATACAAAAGACCAAATATAAAAGGCAAATTCCGTGCCAAACACTCGATTTGTTTTTCAAATGGCGCATTTCTATTGGAGGTTTCGTTCTAGTGTTTTGTTTTTGTTGGGTGAGAATTGGCTGGAGGCGACAGCCAGCATGGGTAGACAGATTAATATTCAGTGGGCTTAAATTGATCATTATAATTAGAAGGTTTCATAGAACATTAAATTTGTATATATTTCGCCATGACAAGATACATACTTGCGAATATGATTTGCACAGGCATTACCAATTGTATATATAAAAAAATGTTAATTATACATCATATAACATTATATTTATGATGTTTAAGAATACCTTATTAATGGTAGACAGTTCAGAATCATAAATGTTGTTCTCTTAAATCAAAGGGTAATTAAAGGTTATTATTTGTGAATTTTATTTCGTGTAGTTTTTATATTTTATCTGTCTTTATCGATCATAACCATTTGAACCACCCTCGAATAATCGTGTCACAACGCATTTGGCTTCAATGACCAAACCATCGGCACTCAATATGTGCACACATCCTAACCATATCCACCCATCTGTTCCGTTGAATGTTATATTATTTGTAAGAGTCGGCGGCACCCAGATGATATAAGTACCCCTAATGCTCATATCATTGTCTCCACTCTGAGTACGCATAATCATTGCATGGGACTGTTGCTGTCAATTTTCGAGATCTTCGCTTGGCCACACACAAATTAGCATTTATAATTGCACATCGTCTCGACTCATTTACCAAGTCGCTTGGTTATCGCTCAAATGGCAATAAGACAACTTTGTGACTATTACATAATTGCTATGATCTGATTTTGAGACTTTTGGAATTGCTTTAGACTAACGATGCGTCATAGAACAACATATTTGCTTTGATTTACATATATGCTATTGTTTTCGCAATGTTTATCCTGTAGTATGATCTTTGGCCAACAAATAAATTTCACTGTGCTTACATATACATAACTAGTCTTTGTTTCTTTGCCAGCAGATGAAATGCAAGATCCTTCTTATCCGCCCAATTTATGATGATCTCATAATACTTGTATAATGATGACAGTGTTGGCTGTTACTTTATGCCAAGAAAATCAATATATATATATGTATATTAAATCAAGTGTGTCAATTGATTCTTGGATTTGCCACCAAAACCTATTTTCTCGTTGACTCACTTTGTTTGATGCCTCGGGCCAGATTGCAACAGTATAACAAGAGGTACGAAATAAAACTAAAACAAAAACAATGTTGCTATAGGCATATAAGGTGCCAGAGCCAACTACTGAAACGGAGAAAAAAAACCGTGTTGAGACGCATTTTCGAGATCACGCGGCGGGTGCGTGACCGCCAGACAGATACGATCTGGAAGCCCACAGAATACTTTTTGGCCATGAGATCGGGGGTCTCCTTTTTTCTCCTCTCCGGATAATGCATCTTCATATAGTTTTTTCAAATTTAGGAAACAGCTGTTTGCTGACGGACTTCATAAAAAAGAGTTTACGTTAAAATGCAGTTTGCTCTGGAAATCAGGTAGAAGGTTAAAAGTGGGGGTTTGTTTTACATAATTTAGACTTTATTTAAAGTGCAAATGTTTAGATAGAAGGATTTCTGTTTCGTTATCAGCTTGTCAAAAGCAAATTGTTTTCTAATGATTGAAACTGGATCTCCTATTAACTCAGCTGTGTAAATTGTTCTGCTTTCTCTAATAATAAGTACTTAAATCATTTTGACTTGATTAAACAAATAAAGAAAAGAGTTTCAAACCACATTTTAGTTTTCATACAATAAGCTATGTAGTTTAAAATCTGTGTAACTGATTTACAGCAATATTTAATGTGAATTTAACGTTTACTATTTGAAGGCGTTCGATTTTTTCAAACACCGGCAAAGCGCCCTTGTCCATTAGGGAATACATATATTATTTATGAAATTGGCTTAAATGCGCCGCCCCACAAGTAAGCCAATAATATTTCAGGTAGCCCATAAATCGGGTGTGTGTAAACATGGAAAAATGCGGGTAGGACTAGAAGCATATTGAATTTCGTCATAATTCATTTGAATCTTATCGTTCATATGAAAACGTGTTTACCACGGAGCCATATAACTATGAAATGCGGTTGGGGATTTCGGAACTAACCTATCCTAAGTGCAAATGCGGGAAGTGAGGCGAAGAAACGGTAAACAGTCAATTGCAGCTGGATAAAAAAAGAGTAGAGTAGTAGAGGTCAGGGGTCATAGCCATCGGTATTGGCCAGCTGATTGGCAGGCACGGATCGAATGGATACCGGAATGTGTCAAAAAGGGGTAAAACTAGTATCTAATTTGGGAGCAACTTACGTTGACCAAACTAACGCCAAAACAAGCGACCCATCCCCATCCGCCATCGGGGGCCACTTTTCTGGGCTGTTTGGTTGCCATTTCAGCCGTCTTTGTTGTTCTCCTCGCTTATTTTGCTTCTGCTCTTTCTTCTGCTGCCTGCTTTTCCTGGATTTGCTTTGTTGTTTAGGTATCTCTATATATGTACGAGGTGTAGTATATATAGATTTATGGATATTTTTTAATATTTTTTACGTTGTGGTTTTTTCTTTCGATTTTCTTAATTTATTCTTGCCGTCTGTGTGTGGTTGGTTTTTGATGAAGTCTAATTATATTTTTTCATTTCTTTGATTTTTGGACAACACACTTAAAAAAAAACAACAAAAGAGATAGACTTATCCTTTTTTTAAGTTGGATTTGTTTTCCTTTTTATCAGTGTTTCTTTTTATCACATTTAAAATTTTAATTCAATTTGTTATTTATTCAATTTGATTTGAATTTGTGGTTTATGTGTTAATTGTTGTAAGGCACTTTGGTGGAGAAACGCGTGGGATGTATATTTGTTTTATATTGTTGTTAATTATTTCCTTTTAGCCAGTTGGTAAAATTTAATGTTGTTTTGGTCAGCCTGGTTATTTTTTTCATCCAGCTGTTTCACTGTTCTCCCTTTCGTTCAAGGGGGAGTGCTGACTATGAGTGTGTGTGTGTGTCAGTGTTTTGTTGTTGGTAGTGTTTTGTTGTTGTTGTTGTTGTTCTGGTGTCTTGTCGGTGGGAGGCGGGGGCGGGGCCTTTGTGGCCTGCGTTGCGTCGCTCTCAGCGGACTCTTGCCGTTTGGTAGCGTGGTCGACTCGCACAGCGCTATTTATTACAAAAGAGGGGGCGGCAGGCGCTCAATGTCTCCGTTTCCTTCTCCTCTTCCCTTTCCCTGGTCGCTCTGTCTCGTCGCCTGTCGTCCGTCTCGCTCGCTCTCGTCGTCGCGTCTCTTCCTCGATTCGATGGGCTACGCGCGGCTGTTCAATCGATACTGACTGCTGTTGGCGTTCGCCGTTTGTCGTTTGCCAGCCCGTCGCTGCTTTGGTGCGCTGCTGGCCTGACTGCTGCTGCCGCCGATGCCTGCGTCGATGCCACCGCCACCGCCACCGCCGCTGCCTCGGTCGCCGTTACCGTTGTCGCACAGTGGGACGGACGGAGCACGGATTGACTAGCCAGCGGCGTTACTAGAGCCCAGATCCTTGTTTGGACCTCCATTCGAATCTTTTATTCTAATGTGGAAAATAATTGGTTCTATATTATTTTAGTATTTCTCGTCACATAGTGTATGTGCAGGACAGGTTTTTAATATATCTTTTTTTTACACCAGGCTACGGGATACGAAGTTGATTAGATGACATTAAGACCCATTTTTTTCTTATGTTCATGTTAACTTTAACGAAGGTTTTAAAATTCTGCTTTATAACTGCTATTCAGCTTTCTATTAGGGCGAGAAAACGGGCTTACATGTAAATACGAACATACTAGCTGTTCCTATTCTTTCAAGAGTATAGCGAGTAAATATCCTTTTGACATAATCATAAAATAAAAATAAGATAACCTCCGATGTTTTCAAAAACCAATTTGAATTTAAAGATCTGAAGAACAAAATTTAAATTTTAAAATGTCAAGCCCAGTTATTGTCGAGACAGAAAGTCAGAGCGGGACTGCAGGAAAAAGTTGTAGTAATTTTGAATGAAATACCGAGAGTTCGGCCCACAGTGCGGTTCCATCCGGAGAGAGTCACTCCGCTGTCCGTGTGGGAGAGCTTGGCCATGTCCATGTCCATGTCCATGTGTGTGTGACTGTTTCAAGATCGCGTTCTAATGTCGATCAGGAGAGCTGACAAAGAGAGAGAGAGAGAGAGAGAGAGAGATCTTGCTTACTTTACTTTGCTTGCCAAAATCCCCAAGCAACAACAGCAACAATGCGCCTTGCTTCATTGTTTACATTCGTTCTTTGTCTGAAGTTATGGCGCATTTGTTGCATTTGGACAGTTTTCTGCCTCCTCCTCTTCTTTTTCTCTCCTTCTTTACTACTTCTTCCCTTCTCTTGGCATGGCATTTTAGTTCGGCTGCAGTTGCGCAAATAGTCTCTCCCGTTTTCTGGCTCTCTCTTGTCTCCCTTCTCTCCCGTTAACTTGTTGCGCCGACGTGCAAGTGTGTGTGCTCACAGTAATACCTCGTTAAAGCAAACACAGACTTTGGGCCATAGATTCTTATAAATATCAGATGACCTTATATCTTTTTTTTAACTTATGGTGGTTAAAAAAACATACTTTCACAGTTAAATATGGTACACACTTATTTGAAATATTTGTATTAAAAAAACAAAACATAATATAGTTTTAAAGTTTCTATTAAAATGACTCATTCGACACTTAAAATCGTTAGAATAGAAAATTTGATCAAAGACAACAGTGCGTATGAGTGATATAGACCCAGAAACATTAAAGAGCTTATTTTACAATACAAATACGTGTTGCAAATAAATTTAAACGAAAAGTGAGAGACTGTAAGAAAATTAGGTCTAGAAAACTTGGAGGCACATAAAGCAGTTTAAATATTCACTGGAACCAATTTCTTTTGAAAAAGCATCTGCGATCCTTTTATTCTTTTCTTGCAACTAATTGGTCATGCAAATTTCTTTTCAAGGCTTCATGAACTCAAAAGAGTGGCGTTAACAGCGATGACTTGCAATTGAGCAACTGGAAAATCTGTGGAAATGAAAATTTTCATGAGCCTAGCGCTCGTTACAAAATCGGAGTTCGAAACTCTTTTTATGCAATCTGACAGTCGGACGGCCAGACGGACGCACAGATTGACATGGCTAGATCGACTCTACTAGTGATGCGATCAAGAATATATGTACATATATACTTTATAGGGTCGGAAATGTCTTCTTCACTGCGTTGCAAACTTCTGGCTTAAATTTTAATACTCTCTGCAAGGGTATAAAAATGTTATAATTTTGTATGAATATGAATTGAAATCCTTATCTCAATTTCAATTTCCGACATCGACATTTGATAGCAGAAAAAACAAATAAATAGCTAAATCCACAACACTGTCCTACAAGTTTGTCAAAGAATCGATAATTGTTAGAGTTTTTAAAAAGATAGGGGAAGCGTGGCTGACAATGACACCGCACACATCCACGTGGGATTCGCATGCGAGTACTTAAAGCTGATTCAACCCGGCGACAGATTGTTGATTCATTAGTATTGTTGCTACAATTGAAGCCACTAAAAAGGCTAAAATAGCTGCACCCCATAAGTTATTATATTTATCGATCTGTCCCTTGCGAATCAATGCAATGGAAACTTTAAAAAAAAGTTGAGCTTATGTTCATTGTGTAAAGTATCTTTGGAAAGTTCAAGGATTGCTTTAAAAACAGCGGTGGATATAGTCCTCCAGTATTGATATATTTGGGTATTGACTGATCTATATTATTAAATAATGTAAATATATAAGACATAGTGTGTAAATCAGTTGCTGATTTATTATTTTTTGTGCGCTTTATAAATAATAATAGAAAAAAAGTATGATGCGGTAATCGACAGAACTATAAATTGGCTAGAAGGGCAGCACTGCTGCTCTGATTTTTGTTTTCTTTTTGTTCCTTCCTGTTTCAACTTGTTGCTCACTTTGTTAAGCCACCCACTCCCTGTGGGTGGATGTATGTGGGTGATTTTGTTTGTGTGTCTCCTTGTATGTGTCCTGAAAGAGGATGTGGCATGTGGAAGAGTCAGCTATGAGAGAAAACAAGAAGAGGGCGTTGCGTGCAACGAAATTGCTGGTCTTTATCCCCTGTGCAGTATAAATTTCCTGGCTCTCATACATGCATGAACCCTGAACCCAGCTTAAAAACCTATACATTAAATAATAAGTACGAAGTATTTTTAGTGGATTTAAGCATGTTATAATAGCGGTTTTAATGTGAAAGACAATTATACAAATTATACAGTCTATCGTCCAATATTATAAACATTAATTTTCAATATTTCTGTATTTAAATCACTGTGAATTAATTTAAAATATGCTTAATCCGAATGTGGCTAAAAAAATTATAAAATTTCATGGAATGAAAAATTCATAAGACAAATAATTGCACTTGGCCCATGTTCTTTTTTAATTTTTTTTTTCACTTAGTTCCGGTGATGTTGACAGTCTCAACGAAATCGAACTGCGAAAAATTGATTTAGCATTGAGTTGAGAGACAGGGAGAACTCGACGAGAGCTTCCTGTTTGTTGAGTGCCTGGTTTCGGCAGATATGTAATTCCAGGCGTTCGATATTGGCATAATATTCATTTCTCTCCCTGTCTATTTGATAAGGGGCACCTAAGGGGAAATGAACCCGAGCATCTGCTCGTAACATTTTTAAAAACATTTTTTTCAAGCTTGTACTTTTCCGCTCGACAAGTTACAATTTATTTTGATTTCCAGTTCTTAACCCATTTACTGGCTTATCGCTGCTGTTTTGTCGTCATCCAGTAAACTGGTTTCTTCATTAGCTCGTCTAATTTGCACATATGTTTTTTTTTATTTTCTGGTGGAAGTGATGATTAATCAAACCTTTTGCATTGATAACTATTTCAATGCTATTTTTACGTCAAGTTGCAATAGGAAAAACAAAAAAACCAAAGCCAATCGCTTATCAAAAACTGGAGTCTGGCAAAATAAATGTGTATTTGAGTATGCGTATGAAAAAAAACTAGAACTTGCAGATGACGGAATTTTTCAATAATTCCCTTTCCGATTACGCAGATAAGAAATGTTGTACTAGGAAAGCAAAAATTGTGGTGCATTTTAATACTATGCGTCCCATAAAAAAACTCATCCTAGTTCAAAAGATTACTTTCTTTTACTATTTCTTGACTTAGCGAAAAATTAAATATTTGACATAAAAGCCTTATTTTAAGTTTGTGTTATATTTTGTTACTCGTCTAAGAAATATAAACCTTGCAACAACCAACAACGAGTCCAGCAAAAAATATTCCCTGAACTTAACTGGCCGCAAATGTTTGTTTAATTTTTTTCCGCTTACATTCCAAGTGTCATTGATGGTTCATATTGATGTTATGATGATTTGGCTCGTGATATTCACGTGCTCCTGCCCGTTCATCCCCGCTCACTCTCTTTTTCCCTGGATCTTATTTCCGCAGTGTCACAAGATTCTTGTTAGATTTCGAACTTTGGAAGCTGCCGGATGGATGGGAGAACAACTTTTGATTAGACTTTATTGCTGCATCACAAGGGATGAGATCATATAAAGAAGAAACTTACCGTTTAGCAATATTTTCATAGTTGGAGTCTTTCATTGCCGTAAACCAATATGATTCACATATTTTGTGAATGTGCATTCTTAAGAATGATGCTTAAAAAATCAATCGGCGAATAATGGAATTTTTTATTTTTTTTTTGTTTTATCAAAGCTTTAGAGATTAGCTCTACAACTCGCTCAATTTATAAAATGTTTAATACATTTTTGTAATAAGATTGTTTTAATATTAAGTTATTATATGAACATTCGAATAATAAACTAGCTGTATCACCAAAAGAAAAAAACTAAAAGTTTTTGATTTGTTTTTTTCGTTTTTCGAATATGCAAATTTAATCTTTATTTCAGTTCAAAATCTGATTTAAGTTATAGAACCCTCTGTAAAAATAACAAATTTTTCAACGGGTATTCCCTTTTTCTGGTCTCTAATTCGTTCATTGCTAGGTTTTTTTTTAACTATGCTTTCCCCTGCCACATAAAATTGTCTCTACAATAAATATATATAACAAATTACACATAGTCATTTCTGGACAAGACGTCAAGAAGTCAATTAACGATAATGAAATGTTGGTGCTACAATTACATATTCTTTAAATAAGTTTTTTTTTTATTGTGTAATGCAGCTTTGTAATATTTGTATATTTCATCAACTCTCGACCCGAATCAATAAAACACTTGTTCAAATCTTAAGTTTCTGGCAGCTTATGCATATTAATTAACAATTATCGATATTTAATACAATTAATTAGCTACACTCGAATAGTATATACACAATGTACACGCAGAATATAGTTTACATAAAGGTAGGGATTAAAAAAAAACACTGGTCAAATGCGATAACAAGAATAACATTTGTGCTAACGTTAGGATGGGTGGTGTGCGGGTACGGTGTTGGTCCTGAATTTGCTGCCACTGAGTACGGCTAAACATGGCACGGAGTGCAGGAGTTGGTCGTTTCATCAGTTGGTGGGCTTGACGGGCATCGCATATCGTCGGTTGCGGGCGCGGATGAAGTCTTCCAAGTACCAGCCCGCAATGGCCAACACGCAAAGGGCATTCAACAGGTTGAGGGTCACCGCATAACTAGTGTGATCCCGGACAACGCCTGGTGATAATGGGATAAATGATTTAGAAATTAGAGCATGCAGGGTACTATTAGTTTTGGTTGTACACGATGAATCAGCTGCAGCATTACTCTCTTAACTGTTAACAAGTTTTGATATTCTCCCTGCTGATCCATCGTCTATCACCCACATTATTTGTGTTACTTCCCCTTTATTACTATTAATACAGTTTTTTTAAAGATTAAAACATCAAATGGTTTTGACATTCTGACTGCTTATGCATCGTCTACAACTAACATTATTCGTAGGGCCTGACCAAGATGTCTATTTTATAAAGCTGGTTGTAGACGATGAATCAGTTGCAGAACAATTACAATTTGATGTATTGAAATAGTTATGCTGGCTGCTGATGCATTGTTTACAACTAATATTATTCGTGATTACCAAAAGTACGCCAATCTAGCAATACTCACCAATCAGGGGTCCGAAGATCATCGAAAAGGTGCCGGACATGAGCAGCTGTAGGCCAGCGGCCGCTGGCAATCTCTTCAGCGGCACATAGCTGGGAATGATCAGCGACCAGAAAACCGTGCGAAAGGCCTTGTTCAAGCCGAGCCACAGGAAAATGCCCATCATTACGTAGAAGTTGGTGGTTATCGAGAGGAACATGCGGCCAACACACATGCCCAGAATTCCCACAACGAAGAAGGTTCGGTTGCTCAAGTTTATCTTCGCCGTTATCAATGGTATAAGGAAACGCACCACCAGGTCAAAGAAGCCCAGTGTGGACATGGCCAAGGCAGTCTGATCCTTAGAGAAGCCCAGATCGCTCAGGATAAATGGTGTGAGGATGGCAAAGTTGATTTCCACAAAGTTGATCAGTGTGATGCCAACGGCTAGGTTAACGTAGGTGATGTCCCTGAGTAGATCCATATCGAAAAAAATCACTACTTTCATGTAGAATGGCAGCTTCTTGCGGCGCTGGCGCTCCGCCTCATCCTCCAGCTCTTGTTTCTCCTTCTCGGTTAGCTCGGTGTTGTTGTGGACTTCCACTTCGTGATCGGAGTGGTAGCCCAAGGCCTCCTCCTCCTTAATGCTGTGACTCACGGAAATGCTGCGCAGCTGTCGCCCGGCATTCGAGTCCCTGCTGCTTAATCTCTTGAGCTCCACATGTCCACTATTTCCGTCGGACTTCTCCCAGGTATTCAGTCGATTGCGAGTGCCGCTGCTATTGAGGGAGGCCCTCGAGCCGAACCAACCGTCATTGGCACGGGGCAGCACCGGTGTCTCCGGCTCGACAACATGCTTGATTATGTCCTCATCCTGATCCTCGCGTTCTGCCAATGGCTGAACCGGCTGCAGTGCCTCCGCATCGCGATCCCGCTTCACCACATGCCACTTTACCGGCTGGTAAATCAGCGAGCAGGCGATCGTGTGCAGTGAGGCGCCGGCGAAGAGGAGCGTCGTTCCCTGGACTCCGAACATGTACAACATATAGGTGGCGAAGTAGGGACAAACAATTGGCCCCAGGCCGGCCACTCCGAATTGGAAAGCCGTCGCCGTGCGTCGCTTCACCTTGAAGTAGGTATTGACCGCCAGCGAGGAGGCAGATACCGTCAGTCCTCGACCGAATCCGTAGATCAGCGAGAAGCTCAGTATGTAGACGGCGAAGGTATCGGCAAAAACCATCCAGAAGAGGCCCAAGAAGGTCAGCACGGAACCGAACAAGGCCACCACTCGATATGTGTAACGTCGGAAAAGCGGGCCGTTAAGCAGACCTTTTTTAAAAAAAGAAAATGTAATTAGTATTTAGATTTTAGTAAAGATGGTGCTTAAAATTTCATGGTTTGTTTATGAGATCGTCTATTGTAAAAATCCTGATAAATCAAAAAAAAAACTTAGTAAGTGTATTTCTTTCAGTTAAATAAGCTTCAAATGTGTTACACTTTTGCAGGTACAACAACTATTTCACATGAAATATTTGCCAGGCTTACGAGTTCGTGTTAATGTCAAGAATCGTGTCATAGAAAGTTTAAGAATTCGCGAGTAGACTTTGCTGCTATCTTATTGGTATAGGTCTTGTTTTAATTTTTGTCAATGCCATGCTTCAGCGAAAAAGATTTGTTATTTTGGACTTATTTATTTAGATTCTCGGGGCTTCTAAAATCGACATTGGTGCCTATCTGAGGCTGAAGAATTCGCGCTACAGAGTACAAAAAAGGGAATGGATTTTAACTTATATTAACTTTATTTATGTCAATGCCTGACCTTTTTTTTATAATTCAAAAATAAAAGGTAACCCTTTACTTGAACATTTAAATTTTTATAAACAAATTGAAGCATATAGATCGTTCACTATTTTCGTCTGGCAAATGAAATGAATACCCTTATTTTTTTTAGTACTTAATTCGAAATGATAACTTTCTAAGCTATTGACAAATTCTTCTTGGCAAAACAAATTTAAATACAAAATAAAAGCAAAATATATAAATCAAGGCAAAACACCTCTTAACGAGGTGGAATACAGTGATTCAGCTAAGGCTGCTCATGAATTTTAATATCACATATCCAATGATCCTATACTAGATTCGGGCAATAAATGTTGAGAATGCGGTGATGGACTGCCAGCAGTCAGTGCCAAAATGTGGTATACGTAAATTCGTGTATTAATAACAAATTTCTCCCCCTCTCACCCGTAAATGCAGAGACAGCGATCTGTGTGTTGATGATGGTGGTCAATTCCGAACTGGAGATCCCCAGGCGCTCCATGCGATCTTTGAACAGGATGCCGAACTGCTGGGCCAAGGCGAACGTCACCAGCTGGAGGATGCGGGGGATATTATACATTATACATTATAGGCATGGGTGAGGATGATTTGAAGGGGATGGCTCACTCACAATGTTGACGCCACTGGCGACGGACACCAGCCAGCCCCATCCTCCGTCGGGCGCCACAAAATCTTCACCCAGATCGCTCTTGTCCCGCCTCTTCTTCGCCGGATGCGATCCTTTCGCTGGGCTCTGTGGCTGGGATTGAGCTATGGAGTGGGACGGATGAGGCAGAGGAGGCACTATCTTGGGCTGTTGCCCCGATGATCCATTCTTGGGGAGCAGCTGGTCTGCAGCCTGCTCCTCGCTTGGTCTCAGTCTGGATGCCTCATTGTTGTTGTTAATGTTGTTGTTATTGTTGTGATGGCTCCCATTATCAGTCATCTTGGAATTGTGCGCCTGGGCGTCTTGGGTTAGGATTTCGGTGTTGGGGGAATGGGGTTTGGGTTAGTTTAGCGCTGCGGGCTTTTGTCCGGTTGTTGCATTACTGGACGAATGATGGGTGGGTGGAACCAGTGAACGGCAACTCTGTAAATTGTTAAGTGAAGAGCTGATATTAGAAGATCAACTATAACATACAACACTCAGAGAATATCCAAGAAAATTATCTACATTTTATGATTTATGATCTAAAAAGTGTTATTTAAATGTATGTATAGATCCTTATCCCTTAAATGTACGTAATTCTGAAACTTTCCAGGGCATTTTGATTTTGGTAAGCAAACAAAATGGCATACAATCTTTTACATATAAATGTTTATACTGAAATTTAAATTTAGAATGAATTAAATAGGATTTCAATAAATGAATGATTAAAATTTAAGTTTAAAGTTATTGGTTTACAATAGCTTACAACACAATTCCAATTAACCAGGTAATAAATTTTATATATATTACTACTTTGACTATTGACTTTAACTGCCATTTCACAATTATAGCTTTATTTTAGTGTCCTATAAAAAATCTAATTAGATCATTAACTTTTCTAAATATGACCAAATTAAAATGGTCACGTAAGTATCACTTGGGGCTTTTATTTTTTATATTTCACAATGCATTGTTGTTGAAATGCCGTATTGAGTTTAATTTTGGGCATTTATAAGAAATTTGACTTTATCATTTCGAACCGGCTTATATCTTTTTAACTGATTAGGGCATATTAATACATTCTGGAGTAATGAAATTCTTTAGTCAGAATATATTATCAATGAAATTGCCCATACATAGTAATTGAAAGACCGCCCCAGAATAAATAATAAAGATCTGAGACGAACCAATATTTGAACTCCGACTGAATTGATTTGCACACAGACCAGACAGCCGTTTATGGCTCAATTGATTGTTTTGTTTTATTTGTATTTTTTTTTATTTTTTATTTTTATCAGAGCTACACGAGACGGCGGGACGAAAGCCTCAACCTCAACTGACCGATCGATCCAGTTATATTTCGGGCAACTCTCACTCTTACCTTGTTTGTTTTTGAGGTAGATATTTTTGAGCCTGGAAACGTGACTGCCAAAAAGCAAAAACTAAGTATATACCGAGTTAACACTCATTATCTAAAAACAGTAACAACAAGGCATTTATACGTCAATGGATTCGATTGTCGAAGATCGGCCGAGAGAGCGCAACCTTATCTTCTTGCCCGTAATTTCAGTTTTTATACCCTTGCAGAAAGTATTATAATTTCAGTCAGAATTTTGCAACGCAGTGAGACATCTCCGACCCTATAAAGTATATATATTCTTCATCAGCATCACTAGGAGAGTCCGTCCGTTACATGAAACTTTCCCAAAAGTTGTCTTTCTATTGCAGGTAGTATATAAGTCGGATCGAGCCGGATCGGACTACTATAGCATATAGCTCCCATAGGAACAATCGGAAAAATAAATAAAAAAATATTATTACTTTGCTGTTTTTAAATTTTTTTTTTAGTTCTTCGAGATATAGTAATGGTTAAATATTTCAGAATTAAGGTTTAAATTTCATCAAAATCCGACGACTATAGCATATAGCTCCCATAGGAACAATCGTATAGCTGCCATAGGAACGATCGAATAATTAAGCTGCAAATCATCATAGCTTCAATGTTTTTAAACATACACGCAAGTAAATCATAGTTTTAACGTTTTCAAGAGTATTTAGTTTTTGAAATAGCTGCAAGGGTATATGAACTTCGGCTTGCCGAAGTTTGCTTCCTTTCTTGTTTTCATTTCAGAGAGACAGCGAGTTACGAGCTTTATTTTCTTTATCATTTTCATTTTCGGAATCGGAATCGGAATTCATATCCGAGAGTTTGCTGACCAGAAACAGAAATGAGTGTTCGTCGTTACAACTTGTGCCGACGCGACAAAGACACCGAAACGAAACGCAACATCGAGATATATGTCAGGGCCTGGCGGCGGCATGGGTTTTATATGAGATCATTTAATGGGGCAGCGGGAATGGGAACGGGAACGGGAAGGGGTCTGCGGGTAATTTGATAAGGCGCACTTCTTCGCAACCCACCGATATCGCCTAATTATACTGTTGCCCAATGGTTATATCCGCATCACAAGGTTGCACGGTAACTCAAGTATTTTCAAAACAATCAATCCACGAATCACTGCACAGAAAAAAAATGTTGGTTCTCCCTCCTCGCATTTGTAATACGAAATTGTTGAATGATCCATTTTTTGTCCATGATATATATTTCTTATTTAATTTATCGGTTACTTAACAATGCGTTTTTGTGAAAATCAAGGAAAAATCTAGATGCTTTACTTAAAGTAAAAAGTAATTTAAAAGTGTTTGAAATAAAACCTTTATAATTTTGTGTGTTTAAGCCGGTTTTACAAAAGAAAACTAGAAATTTTAGCTGGGTCTATAATTTTAAACAAACACAGAAGAACTTTGACTTATTGATACTTAAAACTCGTAAACTTGAATAGACAGAGAAAAATAGAAATATTTGATTTCCTTTAGAAATGTAAGAAACATTAAGTAACTACACATTAAAATTTGGTTACTCTGTTTTTGCATTCAAACCATGGACTTTAGAGCTAGTTTTCGAAGACAATTTAATATATTGTATGTATAACAATTAAAAAAAAGCTTTAATTAAGTTTTTAGTTTATGTTTTAGAAACAAGAAGAACTGTTTTGCTTAATGGATTTTTTCTGAGTGATGTTTAGACCTCTTGCCATCCAGCTTACTTGCTTTATCGGACTCCGACTGACTTCTAAGTGACTTGGGCCAAAAGCTGTTGCTGTTCTGATGTTTTGCGACTGCTCCAGCCGCTGAACCGAACCAAACCGAACCGATCCGCGAATGACCACTGCAAAAAACAATATGGGTATGGGTATGGATGTGGGTATGGGTATGCCAGGGGTGTATGGGCTATGGGCAGAAGATAAGATTCGCCAGCAAAGTTCGCTTTATATGCGATATATAATAGGGAAAACGGAAAACGGTTTGTTGTACTAAAGGTCGCGCTACACAGAACACGCTGCTGGCCATTAAAACGCTGCTCAAATATCAATTTTACAGTGCTTTAATTGCCAGGCAATCGGCATATGAACATTCATATGTGTATGCTAAACACAGTGGGTAAGAGTAGACTTTTGACTCGCTTATCACCTATCGGTTCGGTTCGTTTCGATATAACCGCATATACACGTATAATGGGACTAATTGACCTCAAGCCACTGCCAGTCCAAGTGAATCAGCTTTTTTCTTATCTAACCGCCCGGAAAAAATGATCGCATATGTATGGGGCATGGATACGGTTATGGCCATAACTGTGGAATTTTTTAATGTTATTCAATGATCGCACCACCCATCGATCAGGAAGCACATGGCACAAAAGAAGACACATGTGATGATCTGCCACAATAGCTAAAGTAAGTTATTGTTTTGACCGCATAATTAATAAATCCATATCCATTAATTATGCCATCCAATTCGATTATTTAGATATAATTAAAATTATTTTACACATAACTAAATGCGATAATTAAATTATTATAATTAAAAACTGGTTCCTATTAATTTGTGATCTTATGAAAAAAAATCCTAATCCAAAACGGAGTGGCCACGAATCAACCAGATTGTAATTATGTTTAGTTTAAGAAGACTGTGTTCAGTTTACTCATTCACATTACTCCATATTTAAAAATGGTATATATGATTGTATTGACTCATAGTTTACTGATAAAAATATATCATGAGGTCGAATATTTAGCACTATTTAATGATAAAAGGTTAGTCATTATATAAAGATGTATAAAGACTTGGAACTTTAAAACAGAAGTGAATAAAATTAAATACAGAAACATATAACAAGTCTAATCAATTGATACTACATTTTTACGCTATAAAATAAAGATTATCTAAATATAGATCAGATCGTGAACAAATTCGAAAAATAAACTTTGACCGCTAATCAATTGTAGTTTCCTGATCTTCCCATCCGTCTGATTAGCTCACAAGGAAGTTTGATAGTGACTGGCGCGATTTGATTGTAAACACTCTCTCTTTTGGGATCTATTCAATACATATGTATTTTGCGCAATTATGAGTTCTAAGATTAGAGTTTCGGGGGAAAGGCCATTAAAGAAGTTAAACAAAAAAACCGGGTGTACGTAAATTAATGGCCTCAAGTGCTTGATTAAAGCGCGACGTCGTTGTCGTTTTAGACGTTTAAGACAAACCAAGCCGTCTAAAGCTAAAAACAAACATTCGTATAATTAGAGCTTTCAGCATTTATACGACGACTTGCTTCCCTCCCTCCCGTTTCATCTAACATATTCACACTCCATAAAAGAGTATTTGCGTTGACCCAACAAAGATGATGATTCCGCGCTTGCATTAAAAAAATTTACAACCCGGTAGGCTGTTTTTGGTAGCCACTGTGTACCGGGTGGAACGGCGTTTTGTTGTTCTCTATAAGCCGTGATCGCTCCGTTTTGTAGAGGTAAGTCGACTTTGATCGATGTTTGATTGATTGACAAGAGAACGTCACGTATGCACCGATATCGAAATTAGACGTAACTTCTATAATATCATTTTGAATCCCGAATATCGAAAATTGTTTCAATTTAATTTGTCGCAATTTCACAATAAACCTGAGTATTTATAGAATACAAAACAAATTAAATGGTTGGAATATTTGATATATAAATACGTATACGTTTTAAGTTTTCAAACTGATGAAATTTGTTATATTTCTGCGAAAATACACGTGAACTTATTTAATAATTTAAATCATTATAGTATTGTATTTGGAAAAATGAATCTTAGACTTTATTTTTTTTTATTGATTTTTATATTTCTAATAGCTATATTTGTTCTAGAAGTTGATAAGAAATATTATAATATAACTTTCTGTTATTTATCCAGTCTCAAATTTTTACCGGTCAGCTTTTTGTTGGTAAAAGTAAATCATTGATAAATGATATGAATGGAGATTATAAAAATATATCTTTACACTTAAAGATAATAACAATTTCAGTCCGTTGTGTTTTTAGTTTTTTGGCCGCTATTTCTGATATTTCGAAGGCATATACAGACCTACTGTATATTTCAAGCGGTGCACGTGTCTATCGAAAAGCGCGCGCTTCGAGAAAAAAAATATCATTTAGTTTGCTCTAGTGCTAATTGCTACTAAACTTAAATACAAATGTTAATGCACACACACACACACACACACACTAGCACACATCTATATAATATATTTATGTATTTGGGCCGTACGTTTTATTTTTGTAAATGATTTTCCCTCCTGCTCTGTTTGTTGTTTCTTGTTTGTTGTTCGCCTGTTGCTTTTGTTGCTCTTGTTATGCTGCTTCACATCGCTAGTAAAGTTGAAATACAAAACAAAAACAATAACAAAAATAAAAAAAAAAACAAAATAAAAACGAGACGAGGCGAATCAAGTAAATAGAATGTTTATATATTCAACAGGCGACGACTTTTCCGTTACGTTCACCAGCGCGAACTGAACTGAACAATTTTGTGAATTATAGTATTAAACACCCAAACAGAACACACACTCACACTCGCACAATACTTGCTCACTTTGCGCTCACTTTTTGTCGCAGTGTGCGTGTTATTTTGGTCTTTAGCTTTACCTTTACCGTTTCTTTTGCTCCTCCTCCTGCTTCTTTTCGGCTATATTTGCGTTTGTTGTTGTTGTCATTGATGTTGTTGTTGTTGTTGTTGTTGTTGTTGTTGCTGTTGCTCTTACTGTTGCTGTAGTGCTGTTTTGATAACGGAATTATTTTTTGTTACCACTGTATTTGCTTTACTGTTGTTGTAATTAGTTTTGTCGTCGCAGGCGCGATTATCAGGGGCAAATATACGTCTGTACATATGTACACATATGCCCACGGACATCAGTACACACAGATCTCCATACTGTGCACATTACGTATACGTACGTCGCACCCGCAAAAAAATAAAACACAACTCATAAATACATTATGATAGCGGCGGCGATTAGAATTTGATTTTACCCATCAACCGTCACCGTGGATCGGAATCAACAATTTCCACTAGGGCGTTTTTGAATTCATTCATTAGAACTTTGAGAACATGCATTTCTATTGTCAATTTCTTGATGCAATTCGTTTTCTCAATGTGATGTTACATTTTCTAACAAAGTCTGTTGTCACACGAATCGTTAGATCATTCGGATGGCCAATCCTGAAAAAATTTGGTTTAGTAAAAAGTTTTAATCAAAATAAAATCTAACATGGTATTGAGAAAGTAAGTATTTCCGAAACAGCAACTTCACTTATTGACCAAACTTAACATGACTTTAAGGAATCTGTTTTTTAGAAAATTTCAAGTCTTAGTTGTAAATTATTTAAAACTTTTTGTATAATTTTTGTTTGTGTTATTTTGTAAAATTTGTACGTTTAAGTTAATTTTATTTCATTTTGTAAATTAATATAAAATTAAAAAAAGTTTCTTCATAAAAAAATGTTTTTAAATATCTTTTATGTTATTGATTTAAGCTTCAATTTAACCATTTAATACATTTTTGTTTTAAATTTTGTTTTTATTTGTATAAAAAATCGTCTAAATCTTTTTATGTTCGTTGCCCAATATCTAAATTTCCATTAGTAGTAAACATATAATTTGATGTTAATTTTTTATTGATTATATTAGATTTTTAATGTATTTTATTGCAGGAATCTAATTACCTTTCTACTTGTAATTTAAAAATTATCCAATTACCCAATAAAAATAAAAAGTTGATTACACAAATAACATATATAGGTCCAGCTATTTGAACTATGTTGTTTCAGTGCCTCCACATTCCACAGTGCGTCTTAATTTCCCGGTAGACGCTACCGCTGCCTACAGGAAATGCGAATAGTTGGCCGGCAAATGAAAGGCGAGCTAAGCCCTTGGTTTGGGCCCAATGTTGACAGCTTGTCACTGGAAGTGGGACGGGAACTCGACTCTGGACATGACAAGTCCTACATATATATCACGAGTTTGCACTGCACTCCAAGGGCGTCGGGACCCGTGACGCATGACCAGATCGAGGATTATGCCCAATGTGAAGGGCTCGACTCTGGGGCCGATTTTTTTTCGATTCGAAACCTGAAATCTACTTTTTCGACACTTTGGCTCTGCCGGATTATCAGCAGTCAACGCTAAAAATAAATTTAAAAATTTAATAAACATTCTATTCTTTTTTTATTTTGATGCTGCGGGTATTAGCGACACTATCTCTAGAACTTCAGATTTGATTCAAGAAAAACAAATTTTGAATATTTAATTGTGAAATACTTAATTGGTCAGCCAAATTTTGGCTTTGTATGATATTTTTGTTGTAAAACGTTGTTACTAATAAAGATTGGCAGAAGGCTACTAATAAAGATCTGGTCTAGAAACCTTTAGCCTCTATCATCTATACTGGTCAGAATTCGGGTTCAGCAATTCCTTTGCCCCATTTACAATTTGCGCTGATAAGAGCAGCAGCTCACAGCACACATTTTAATTGGAATTTGGCATTTTTAATTTCGATTTTTGCCACTCGGGTACAAAGAACAAGGTGGGTGTGTCGACCCATAAATAAAACAACGGCAACAGCAATTTCTTTTTAGTACCAGTGACGAGGATCATGACTTGGCCATATAATCGGGAATGTGACCATTTCAGACCTAGGCACAAAGAGACCTGCCCCCACCGCCAAAGATAAGCTTCCTAGTGTTTTTTTGGGTAAGCGGATGTCGTAGTTGTCATAAATCGGTACACAGTAAAAAAATATATAAAATTAGTTTAATTTTCAACTTTAAAGCCTGTCTATCTGCCCATTTTAACGGAGTCTAGATTGCCAAAGTTTGGTTCCAAACATTTTTAAATTATCAATATCAAGGTTTTAAGATTTCCAAATTCTGCAAAGATGTATTCCAAAAATATATTTATCATAGCCATTATAATTCCCTTGTTATAATTTACTTGTAAAATATTTGTTTAATTTAACCAAAATTGAAATGTAAAAATAAATTTGTGAAAAAACAAAATGTTATGTGGTACTACGTGATTATGAAATTGAAATTAGTGTATACACTTAACAAATTTCAACTGAAATTGTCAATAACAAAATTCTATTTGACCTTAAGTTAGTTTTGTCACTTAATTTGTTTTAAAATGAGCAACATTTAGGAATTGTAGTAGCCGATTTAATCGATTCCAAAATGCACCCTAAAAGATTTTCCATTTTTGTTAACCTTTTTTTTTTTGTAACCCTAAAAGATACAACAGTTTCACCGAGTTTTTTCGGTATAGAATACTTATTGGGCTGAACAGAGAAAAAATGCCCAGGGGATCTTAAATTCTTGCAGGTGTAATACGAATATATTAGTGCCTGATTCAAAATATTATAGTAAACAAACCTACAAAGCTGATTGAAAATTTAGTAGTTGAAAATATACAAATATTGGATTACTATTAAAATTTTCTCACAAATACCAAAATATTCAGCAATAAAAATTCTTTGCGAGAACGTATTGTAAATTGTTTGTCAAACAAAATGTAATATTGAGATTTTTGCTTTGATGGCATCTTCTTCTATCCGAAATTTGTCATTTTTTCTCAGTTACTATATGCTTTACCAATAATCCAAGATTAGCACCATTTCAGTTTATTTTTATATCGCCAGATTAAGACCTTTACCATAGTACATACTTACCCTAAATCCGCATCCCAATACTGTAATCCCATACTTGCACTGCCAATGCCAAAGTATAGAAAACGGTGGGGGGATAATATCCAACTTCAGATCATTAGAAATAATAAGGCCATGTGTTTCAACCAAGATGTATTTTAAATTAATCATTTTACAGGAAGTGGACACCAGTGCCGCAATTCCGGAAAACTATTTTCTTTTCTAACTAATATACATATATTTATCAACTGTGGAACATTTATACACTTATAACATATCACTAAGTACATTTAATAATCCTAGTAAGAGTATCAAAAGCTACAAAAAAAATTGACCGTAAGTTAAGGTAGCGATGGGTGATTACAAGCTAGTTAAGAGTTATGTTTCTTAGGTATCTTTAAGTACGGGCCACACCGGCGCCTCGTGCTCAAGTAATACTATGCACACACACAAATCGATTGGGAAGTATGGACTAGGCTATGTCTACAGCTCCAATTGAGCTTTGGTCTCGCACACTGGGATGGACATGCAAGTAGTTCAGTTCCGGCGAAGCTTTCAAACTCCTTCTCGTCGCCGCAGTTCCATTTAGGACTAGTAGAAATGCTGCTTCTATTGACCCAGTCCCTTGGAGGGAATTCCCAAAATGCGCCGCACCACGCCCTCTGTGGCCCAAAGGAGCAGGGCCAAGCAGGTGAGTGCGTTGATGGTGTGAATGGTGGCGGCATAGCCGAAGGCCTCCGTCAGGATTCCTGCAAATAAATAATCGATGGAAGGTTATCTATTGGTTTAAGTTATCTTTGCACACCATAAATAAGCAATTGTGAATTTAAAATAAAATTTACCATTGACAGCTTTTAAGAAGTTATCGAACAAAAAAAATAAAAAAAATCTATTTTCAACATGGTAAACATACACTAGTCGGCATAATTATTTTGACGAAAAACTAATGGTTCAAATTTGTATGTTACTTTTTAATGGTTTAATATAACTCAATGATTTTTTTTCTGTTTTATTTAGTGCTAATACAAACTTAAAAATAATAAATTCAACATTTTGTCATATGAACTTAAAAAAATATAAGCTAAAGTAATTTTCATGTGGTGGCATAAGTATTTGGACAAGAACCTTTTAATATGAATAACAAAGTTTAAACTTAAAAAAACCAAAGGAAAAAAAAGAATTTAGTAAAATTTATAATTTCCTTTGGTTTCAAAAACTTTTTGCAAGCGTCGCGGTAGTGATTCGACCAAATTTTAGATAATCTCTAGAGATATCTCTTCCCAAAGGGAAGTGACCTCAGAAATTGTCTCCTCTTTGGTTTTATTCAAAGATACTGTTCTTTTAAGTTTTATAAGAGACCAGACGTTTTCAATTATATTTAAATCTGGACTTTGAGGTGGCCAGTCCAAAGTGGTAACACCAACATCCTTCAAAAATGTTGTAATCATCTTGGCTTTTTGGCATGAGGCGTTATCCTGTTGCAAAATGAAGGTGTGTCCAATAAGCCTGTCTCCGGAACTAAACGCATTATCATTTAGTACCCGCAAATACTGGCCTTGGTTCATCGAGTCATACGTACAAAATCGCGTTCTTTTAATCGCCGACGGACTGTGCGCTCACTAATCGGTGTCTTAGCTGTCAAATTAAACTGATCTGCTGCGGATTGGGGCTTTAAAAAAATATTCTTATTAAATTCCCGTACAAGGACTCGGTCTTCACTGAGATCTGTTTTGCGCTTAAATTACGCATGTCATTATGCTTTTTAAACTTTTTAATTTAGTAGTGCACAGTTTGACGCGACACATAA